GCGCTCTTTTTGCGCGCGCCACAGGGAAGTCCGCTCGAAAGGGGACAACGAAAACTGTCCGTCTGTCTGTCTGTCTGTTTCTCCGGCTTTTTTTGATTGTGTGCAGCCACGCGCGTTTCTCCGCCATTACCGTCGAGGGCGACTGATTTTGTTAGGTCGGCACAAGAGCAGTTACCTTGGTTAACAGACGACACGGCCTCGCCTTAAACGGTAAAAGCCTCGACGCACGGCCGAACCTTTATTGGCTGCTCGGATGGGGCTGAATTAGTCAGGCTGGCAGACAGACAGACAGACAGACAGACAGACAGACAGACAGACAGACAGACAGACAGACAGACAGACAGACAGACAGACAGACAGACAGACGAGGCTAAATCGCGCTTCCACCGTTCCCAGACCCTTGACTCGTGCGCTAGCCCTGCGCCGTCGTGCTCTCGAAGCGCGGATACCAAGAGGATCACGTAACGGGAAACCTTTTTTCTTCTCTCTGCGCGGACCTTTAGACCCTGACTGGAGCTCGCGACTGCGAAACTAGTTTGGAGGCGATGTCTTTGTGTGTGGAACCCATCGCACAGCTTGGGCAGGGACGGATGCGAGACGCTGCCGTTGCAAAACTTTTTTCTAGCGCAACCACTGTTTGACTAGGGGGAAAACAGCGGACTGATGGAGGCAGCGTCTTGTTTGGACAGTGTACAGTCCTCGCCCTTTGCGAGGCTAGTCCCTCCCTGCTTGCCGCCACACTGATGGGGCTTGTGGGCAGGGCAGGGTTGCTCCAGGGTCAGGCCGTGCGACAGGTGCAGGTGCATCTGTGGACCCGCACGGTTAGGCCAGGGCGAGATTGTGTTTGAAAGCCACGCCGTTGGGGCGGCAAACAAGGTGCAAACCGCAAACAGTGTGCGAGAGAGACAGAGACAGGCTTTTGTAGGTCAGGCGGGTACGGACTGGGACTCGTTTTGGGACTTGGGACGTACCGTCACGGGATTTGCAGCCAAGCCCTCGGCCAAGCCACCCCACGCGGCAGCAGGCAGGCAGCAGCCATCCGCGGCTCGCTGATTCCGAACAGCGCTGTCTCTCTCCCACTCCCGCTGGGGGGCCGGGCTGGAGGCCGGGAGCGAGAGAGACAGAGCGACGGGGCCATACGGGGCCATGGGACGGCGAGAGAGGATTCCCTCTGTCACTACATGAGGGCAGCGGGGCGGGGAGGCGCACCCCAAAGCAGCGTCACAGCGACCCGCCCTCGTGCGTCTTTGGTGGGCCAACTGGCGCAAACGAAGACTCAAATCCCCCGCGCCCTATCCCTCCCCCTCACCCCTCTCTCTCGCTCTCTCGCTCTCACTCGTGATGTGATGGTGTCACGGGCCCGGAAAGTAATCTTGATGCGAACGAGCTCGCGCTATGCTGAAACATTTAAATCGCGAAAGCCCCTGTTGACGCGCTGTGTGTGCGAGTTGCTCTCTCTCTCTCTCTCTCTCTCTCTCTTTCTCTTTGTCTGTGAATGGGTGTGTATGTTTGTGTGTGTGTGTGGGGGAAGAGCGCACTTTCGTTGCTGATGCATTATTCCTAGGCCTTGTTCGATCCCTTTATCTCTCTTCTGCACTCTGCCCTTCCTCCTCTCTCTCTCTCTCAGTCTCTTGCTCTCTCTTTCATCAATCTTGGTCTCCAAGCCGCGCGATGTCAAAGCGGGTCTCGCGCTCTGTGGGCCCTACTCCTCCTCGTCGCCTCTCTGTTTTATACAATGAAGCCGGGAGTACAGTAGTGGCAAAACAAAAGCCAGCCTCCGATCGCTTAGTCCTCCCGAGATTTAATTACTCGATGGATTACGTCGGGCTGCGCCCCCCCCCCTCCTTTTTTCCGGAGCCAAGTCGACGAGGAGTAATTTCCTTGAATTTCCACTGGCTAGGCAGCCACGCAACACGCGGGAACAGTTCGGTGGACGAGGCGGCGGTGCGCCGCGTTGGGCGTCGTTGTACAGTCGCGCAAAGCACATGTCATTTTTTTTTCGCGCCAAGCCTTCCCCTGAATAAGACAAAAGAAAAAAAAAACGTTCGGTGAAGGAGCGTTTGTTGCCGCTACGGGTGGCGTGGTGTGGCGCTGGTGGCGCTGCTGGTGGCGCGCCCGGAAAAGACTGCGAGACGAATTTGGCGTTGTCAGTCACTGCCAAGCGCGGCAAGCGGCACGCGCCACGCCCGGCGCCTTCGCTCGCTCCTCGCTCGCCGCCCGTAATCCACCCTCCCGGAAAACGAGGTGCCGAACGACAATAGCGTCAAAGCAGTCAAAGGGAGGGCGAACCTCCCTTCTCATTACCAAGACGGAGACGGCCGGGTTTGGCCTTCCTCCTCGAGAGCGAGAGAGAGAGAGGGAGAGCAGCGCGAGAGCGATCGGGTACTCGCCTCATTGCCAGCACACGCACGCACACACACACGCGCACGATATTCATACATAACACATGCGTTTGGACCCTCGAACGCAAACACGACAGCAAAACCCCCTTCGATGTACGCAGGAACAGGCCAGCCACATCCTTCCCGTCATAAACTCACACACACACACACACACACACACACACACACACACACACACACACACACGTTTTCACTCCCCCACGCAGACGCGCAAATCGTGCTCAGCCGCACATGCTGTGGGTTGCCACGGTCGCCACGCCATGCAGCATTTAGCCGCCCCCGTATTGATCTGTTAAAAAAAGTTAAAAAAATTCGAGTCAGAGCGCACGGCCGCAATGCATGTGATAGCACGTCTTACACACTGCCAACCTGCCAAACCGAAAAAAAGATGGATGAGAAAGAACGCAAAACGAAATACCCGGGGAAATGGCGCGGCCGACACGCCCTGCCCAGCTGGAAGCCGATGGCGCAAAGATCCTCCCTTCATCCAGCCAGTCCTGGTTAGCAAGCCCCATCATCATCCGGCCTTATTTTTCATCATCTCCGAAACCGTTTCTGCTGTTTCGTTTCGTCCCGCATCGAAAAAGTGCTCACCAAGGAGGAAAAAAAAGAAAGAAATGAAACCAAATTAAAGTTACATTGCGCACAAGCCCCGCTTGCATTTGTGATGGCAGTCTGGCGCGGCGCGGGCGGGGCAACCTTTAAGAGAGGCGCTGCACCGCGCGAACCACGCCCCGCCCCGCCACGCCCCCTACAGTGCAGCGCACACACCGTCAAATTGGGCCACGTGCGCTTGAAAAAAAAGAAAACACAAACTTGTTCAACAAGCGTATCGGCCGATAGGGGCGGCCAGGCTCGCCAGGCGTGCATTATTTCTCGACGACCCGAGCGAGCCAGGCGCGCATCCGAGGGGGTGGTCACGGTCATGGCATTTCCCCCTCCCCCCCCCGTTCAATTTTTTGTTCTCTGAATAAAACGTCCGCCGAGCAGGCAGGCAGCGCACGAGAAACCCACCCGGTTAGTTGCGACTCACCGCCTCCGCCACCCGCACACTATTTTTTTTTTTCGGTCTGAGATTTTTTTTTCGCTCCTGGTTTGAACTGGACACGAGGTTTAGCGTGGCCGGCCGTCTCTACGTAACGATTCGTCTTCCGCTACGCAAAGTCATGACTCTGTGTGTGTGTGTGTGGTGTGTGTGTGTGTGTGTGTGTGTGTGTGTGTGTGTGAGAGAGAGAGAGAGAGAGAGAGAGAGAGAGAGGAGAGAGAGAGAGAGAGAGAGAGAGAGAGAGAGGGGGGGGGAGTGTGTGTGTGTGTGTGTGTGGGGGTGGGCGTGCGTGCGGGGCGAAGGAGCCAACGGAACCCAGGGGAGAAGAAACGGCGTTCCGGTCGGGCATCCCCAAGGAGGCCGTCCGCTCCGTGGCCGAGGCAGCCGAGGAGGCCGAGGCCGGCCGGCCCGGCGATACCGAAAAGGGCGTTGGAAGTTGGAACTGATGGAGGTCAAGGCGCCAGGGCGGCCAGGGCGGCCAGGGCGGCCAGGCGCGTCGCGCGCTCAGTTTGCCGGAAGGGGCCGAGGCCGACCGGGCCGGGCCGGGCCGCAGGGATTCCATCAGGCAGGCGCAGCGAGGCGCAGCCAGGCCGGCCGAGAATGGTGGCGAAAATGACGCGCGGCCCGGCGGCCTTCCCTCGCTCCGTCTCTCTCGCGCTCGCGGCGCGGCCCGACGGCGTCGGACTGAGCGACTGCCCGCCGGGCCCTCAATTCCAGTCGATTCCGGCCCGCTTCTCTCCGGCCCTGCGGCCGCCTGGAGGCTCCAGCGCTAATGACGGCCAGCGTATTACGTGACAATGCCGTGCCAGTGTGCCAGTCGGGTGGCGGGCCACTGGCGGCGCGCCTCGCGGGCCGAGTCGGTAAGTCACCTGGACGGGGCTCGGACTCTCGGGCCGCCGGGGATTAACTTGATTACCCAACCGGGGCTTCTGTTGCCCGGCCCTCCCCCTCCCCTCCGACTGGCCCGACCCCCGTCAGGCTGGCAGGGCCGGGCTCCTCCGGGCCGATCCCCCAACAGCCCCGCCGCGGCCCCGCCACAGCCCCGCCAGCTTCCGCTCGTCTCCTCAATTTCTGGCCGATCCTCGAGAGGGACAAGTTTGGAAGCCGGGCGAACTAGTTGAGGGCCATTTACCACACCCCGAGGCCCGAGGCTCCCTCCCTCTCCCTCCCTCTCCCCTCTCCGCCCGCCCTGCCTCCGGCTAGCCTGGGCATGCCCGCCCGCGCCCGGGTTATAAAGGTCGGCACGGTACGGACCGCTGCCGTACCTTTTGCTTTGCAGTGCGCCTTCTACTTTTCGGTGGCCTTCCCGCCTACACTGGAACCGGTCCTCCGGCGAATCCCCGACGTGCGCCCCGGCTCCCCCTTCTCACCTTGCGGAACAAAAAGCAACTTTTTTTTAAAACAATTTTTGTTTTGCATATTTTTTTTAATTTTTAGGACAGAATTTTTCACTGTGCCTTGCACGTGCTGTGTATACACGCACGCGTGCGCCGTCAGCGAAAATTGAAATTTGCATCTTCTGACTCCGCGTTGTCGGTTCCTGTCTGTTGCAGGCTGCACCGCAACGCCAAGGCCGCCGCCGACGTGGAGTACCCCGCCTACGGCGTGACGGGGCCCAACAAGGACATCAGCCCCACGGGCGACCGGCGGCTGGCCCAGTCCGCGCAGATGTACCACTACCAGCACCAGAAGCAGCAGATCCTGGCCATGGAGAGGTGAGTGGACGGCGCTCCCGATCGGGGCGTCCAGGGTCGTGTTGTGGACGACCCGCGCGACACTTTGGGACCCTGGACGTCTTTGACCGTCTCTGTCGGCGACCTCGGGGGTCATTTTTGTTCCCTTTTTAAATGCCCTTGCCATGGCGGGCATTAAAACGAAAATAAAACGCTGTGCGGCGTTTCATCGTCACGGGGATCAGTTCCCTTTTGTCTGCAACGAGAACAAAGGTTGCCGAAAGCACCCGGCCGGCCCTACTCGCCCTTTGCGGCCCGGCCTGGCCCCGCCTGGCCCCCCACTGCCCATTGTGCGACTGCGTATTATTGGCACTGCTGCTGGATTCTCACGCCTGCCCCTTATTTCTTCTGAGGGGGATTTTCGGGATTCCTCCAAGTCTCTTCTTATCCGGCGCTGCCGCCTGGCTGCCGATGTGAGGAGGGGCCGAACCGCAAACCCTCCCCCCCCCTTTCCCATTTTTGCGGTGGCGAGGAAGCGGCCGCGGGAAGGGCAAGGGGTGGGGAGGTTCAATTTTTAATTGGTGTTTGTTGTGGTTGTTGCAGCCGCGCTGCCGGGGGCCGCAGGGGCTCCATGTCCGAGGCGGAGAGCGAGGACGAGAACGAGGAGGGAGACTACACGGTCTACGAGTGCCCCGGACTTGCACCGGTGAGTCGAGTCGTCAAGGCAAGGAGCGGCAATCGCCTGGGCGGTAGGCCGGCCGTGGCCCCGTGTGTGTGGCGGGCCTGCCTACCCTGGACTTCGCGGGCGGCAGGCATGCTCGAGATTGTGCAGTGTGCGTGACTTGGCCCTTTCTGTTGCAGACCCAGGAGATGGAGGTGAAGAACCCGCTGTTCCAGGACGACCCGACGCCGGCGACGCCCGCCCCGGGCATGGGCGCGGAGGCCGGCCACGACGGCGACGGCCTGCCGGAGGGCGGTCACGGCCACGCCGGCAGCGGGCAGCGCAAGGGCTCCGCGGCCTCCAAGAAGTCCTCGGCGGACGGCGACAGGCCGTCGGACGACGCGGCCACCGCCAAGCCCAACAACGGCAGCAAGGCCAGCACCGGCAGCAGGTCGGGCAAGGGCGGCAAGCCGTAGACGGACGGGACGGCCTCCGACCTCGCCGCCGAACGGTCGACCCTCAGCAACCCTGGCCAAGGCAGGCCAAGCCCGCCACCGCGGCCGCGTCGGGCCACGTGCTTCCAGCTCCCTTTCTTCCCTCCTCGCCTTCCTGCTCCTCTCCATTCTCCATGAAGATGAAGCGCCCCGTCGTGCTTCCATCTGCAGCCCTCGCGGACCCTCGGACCCTCGGACCCGGACCCGCGGAGATCGGCTCGCCGCCAAGATGACTACGATGACGGTGCCAACGCGATGGCGCGGCGCAGCGCGCGCCCAGCAAAGGGATGGGAAACTTTATCTTAGAATGTACATACCCCTCTATGCCACGCTATATATGTAATCGTTATCTACTCTCACCTAACGTTCGAAGGGTGTGCGACGATTGTGTGGAAAATAAAGCAGACGGATCGGATTACGGCGCGGGGATACAGACCGTTCAGAGCGGGATTTTACTGTCGCACGTAGCACGTCAGGCGAAAGTTTAAATGGAATTTAATTTCGTTAGAGTATTAAATAAAGGACATATTGGCGCAGGATTTTGAACCAATTGATTATTATGATTTCCATTCATCTCCACACTTTGCCTTTCACGGCCTAGCTGGTTAGACTTCCGTGTCCCTATCTAAATTATTTTCTACCTATAGTACCTGATTCCGAATCGCCTCCTGTGTAGTTGGATAGGAACGCAGAGACAGCAGAACAGAGGAGACTATTGAAACGTTTCGTATGGCATGGATTGTGAGCCTTCAAGTTCCAATCGATGTTGCCCAGCTAGCCCTTATCTATTTGCACACGCATTGGCTCTGCTTAGTAATGACCGATTTATACCCACCCTCTAAATTACGTCTAGCTTTTCGCCCGATTATTCTAGAAACGGAAAAGGAGCTGCGCTCATGCCCCAGTCAATAGAAGATAAGCCGCACACTAATTTAGCTTTCACTGTAGTGTCTCAAAGAGGTTTCAAACCACACTGCTCGATGTTAACAGAAATGCGGGGCTTGTGTGTGGGAAAGAGAGATAGAGTGTGCGTGAGTGTGCGTAAGTGTGTGTGAGCGCGCGATAGTCACTCTGAGGGAGTGAACAATGCAGAGGGGTTGGAAAGAGAACATTGAACTGTGTTATGTTGAGGCCTATACTGCTTCTTTGAAGAGAACAGTTCCCTTCGCTTGTAAGGCCTGACAGAGCACCCAAACCTAATCTACCCACCATATCATAGCAGGGAATGACCAGTCACTACTTGTGCCAAGGTCTGGGTCCTGTGCGCTTGCGAAGTAGAAAAATATGGCCTACTTAATCCAATTTGAGGTACGGGCTGTTCCAATTTTGCCAGTTTTGTTGTGTGGAGGGAAAAGTGTATTAAGTTGTTGCTCTGAACTTTTACAGGAAGAAACCAGCCCATGAGTATGATCTAGATTCAGATAAAAATTATCCAGTATTATTTTGTTCGTAATGATAAAATAGTAGAAATTTCCCAAACTTTATGTTAGATGAAGGACGTTTTTTGTGCTTCTTTATGTGTGTGTTACAAACTCCTGTTGTTTAAAAGCAATTTCTATCAATTATATTTGAACAGTCAGACAATTGGCAAAGGTGTTGGCATTTGTTGCTTGATAATTGCTTGAGTACTACTGCTTTCTTCATGCAACTTATTTATTTTTAGTTTTAATAAATAATATATTTATATTTTACAATGATCTCCTACAGTGTGTTGTTAGAATGCAATTCAATGTGCAATATCTTACTCAACTTGGGTTTCGCCAGATGACAGAGGTCATATTCTCACTAATCTGAAAGCTTCTGCTTGGGAAGACGTCTTCAAAACCACCTAAAAATCTTGTTTCCTGAAAATAGAAAGAAACATATTCTCATAGGAAGCTCCGCGAGGCGTTTTATTAGACAAGAGCGGAAATGTGTTGTGCCAAAAATGAAAAATGTTGAAATTGATGTAAAAATGGTATCGTCGGTAGCGTCGTGTGAAAGGAAGTGGAGTATAAACTGTCCTAGTGAGTTTTTAGTGCAATTATTAGCCAAGTCTTGATCGTTGCTGGTAATCTTACCACGAGAAAGTTTGATGAAAAGGGAAAGGTACAGTAGTGTAACATAGTTACGGGGGGAAATGTTAAATTTACCAAAAAAGACAAAGTAACAACTGGTTGGAGGGTGTTGTATTTCCCACTGGCAGCAGTGCCAATAAATCATGGGTAAAGTACTAATGATGGACTCTATCACAATGGACTCTGAGAACTATCTGATTTATTTAAAACGTAATTTCTGCTTTATTGAGCTTTTCGAACCACTTATTCCCAGTGTGAATGAAGTGAGGTGAAATCATAAATTGAATGTTCATATCTATGTCCAAAGACAGTCAATCACACAGTTTCACTCATCTGATCAAATTTCAACTGCCTTTTCTCATTGAACATGGATTGGATTACATGCTTTTGCTACTCATTCTCTTTTCATTTTTGACATATCTCTGATTAATAATTGCAGTTCCTAGGTGCAACCCATTCTCTTTGTGGTTTGCTAGTCAAATTGCTCCTTTCAATAGGAAACAAGATGGTTTGTTGTGGTAGAGAAATCAAAATGATTAAATAAAAATTACTAACAAATGGAGCTAATTTCCATGGTACAGCTATGAATGAATTTGAAAGACTCTTGCTTTCTGAAAGTACTTGTCAGGCTGTGGAGCTAATCTTAAATGTGCATAAGAAACAAAATTATTTTAACACAGATTATTCTATGACAATGATAAATTAAGAAATATATTTGTATAGTTTGCAACATGACATACTATGTAAGGTAGAGCCTGTTCTACAACATTTGAAAGAAACTGCTGTACACAATTGATATGTCCCATTAAACAGTTCACGTACATACCATCCATTTCAGCTCAATTTTTCTTTACAACCTACCAACCCCGTTTTGTAAAGTGTAATGATGTTTCCATTGGGATAAGGAAGAGTCTCTCAATAGGAATAAGATGGTATTATTTAATTAATACAGGGATTGACATTAGCACAAACAAAAAGTCCAGCTTTTTTTTTTTGTGGCATTAAACACTACCTTTGGTTGCAAAAGAAATCCACCAAGATACATACATGAGGCTGATTGATGAACATGAATTGGTTGCAACTGCAGTCCAGGTCACACACATTCAGCATTTAGCAATAATCACACATCTTAAATTTCATCTTGTAGCACAGGTCTTCTTTAGGGATCAAAAGCACTCTTATAATCAGAAACAGTTTCTTAATTGAAGAAATTAAAACATGGCACAAAGAAAGTCTATTGAATTGGGAGTCAACTTCACCCAGCAAAATATTCAAATCCGCTCAAAGTTTTTATACTTCACTAAAGTATGAGCTAAGTCATGAGACGCACTTAAATAAATTTAAACGAAAAACTCTATACCACTCATACTCACAAATCTATACAAAAATATGTAATCTCTCTACTTTACAATGCGTGCTAGCTAATGACAGGAGACGCACAGGTATAAACACTGTGATCATCGTGTGCATAGTCTAGCGAGCATACAGGCAGTCGTTGCTGGTCTCTGGCTGTCGTTCATTCCACAAACATTGGGCAAATTAGTCCACATGTCCAGGAATCCGACAAAAATAATCAGGTCCCCAAGTTCCTCAAGTATTTACATGTTTTTCCTGCTATGCCTCCCTCTGAAAAGGTTTTGAAACAATAGCAAACGATCCAAAAATTAATCAACTCCTGCATCATAACATACAGTTAAGTCACACTTCCAGAGGGATTTGTAGCAGTCACATCAGTCCAGCTAGGAAGCAGATAGGATGTTCACATATTCTGATACTAGTACCATTCATTTCTCCACATCAAAATGTCAAGTCCTCACTGACTTCTAAGCTTTCAACCTGATCAAAGTCTAGGAATCTACAACAAAAATATACTTTCAAAAATAATCTTTACACAATATTTACATGATGTCTGGCAGACATCCTTTGAAAGACAAGCAAGAGTAGAATACAAACTGAGTGATGCACCCATGGTAACTTGAAAAAGGAAAATTTTATCTCATTATATTTGTGCGTTTGTCACCATTTAGAAGATAGAATTAAACAAATTACAATTAAATTATAAGAGTAAGTAATTTTATAACTAATTTGAAAGCAGCAAACATTTAGTTATCCAAGTTGCGATATTTTGAAGTAAACAAGGAACACGACTTCATAGAAAGTTTCAAATTTTAACATCTGTCCATGTACTTCTTACTGTTCCCACCCTTGAAATTTTTTTGACATGTAACTGAAATGTTATAAACATGAGGTATCTACAAAGCAACTGCCACAGTTCCACTTGAAATAGCTTTACACAGCATACCAATTAGTTGACAAGTTTGCACTTACCAATGTCAAACAATATCTTTCTCTCTCCACTAAAAATATAAGTCTTTGGCAAGGTGGAATTGAAAATATTTACATTTCACACACATCCACAAAAATACCACAATTACCCAATCCATACAATCTTCCAAACACAACCTAAGAGAATAATGTTTTGATCAAAAAGCCAGCTAACAGTGCTTATGCACCCCTAATAATGAAGACCTGTGCCACAGAGTAGTATGAGCTGTAAAAAGCATAGCATATTTAATTTGAACTGAAAGTAACATTAAACGCAGGCATCTCTGAGAAGCTGCCTTGATAGAACTAGTGTTTCATCCCTGCGTGAAACATGTCAAACCAAGTACACTAATTTTTATCATAGCCAAGCTCACGCACCAGCAAACAACCATTCAAAGGTCATAGTTTAATGCTGAAGCAGAGCTTTCAATACTCTTATTCCCAAAATTTCTCACATTACTTACCCTAAGGACTGTCTTCTAATGACTTTTCTATATTTTGAAATATTTGCAGCACTGTTCAGTGAAAATATAAAAAAAGGTTCTTAACATAACAGGTCATGTTGGATGGCACTGTCATTCAATGTGCTTTTGTCAAAAAGAACAGTACACTGACAATAGACATGAGAAATTTATAATTTAATTATCACAAGAACAACTTATTGGTTTGTAATTTCATAAAATTTCTCTTCCTTTCTTGACAAGGAAACACTATTCCAAAACCCCAAAACATTACAAAAATCTTTGACATGACATGACTAGGCACAAGAAATTTTATAAATGGCAGGAGAACTAAAGATGACGAGCAAAAACCTTGGATTCATTAAAGGATGATTTGTAGTTCTTAAAAAAACTTTGCAAAAGAACAATAGAAAATGCACAGTAAGTACATAAGATAATATTTCTTCCAAACACAGTAAGTAGTTTTCATTCTCAAAAACACAAAAGCAAATAAACGGATGTGTGAAAATGGAAGACTTAAAAACAATACACATAAAATCTGAAGCCAAACAATAACAGTAACCAAGTAAAGATTAGGGAAAGATGACCACAACCTAATTAACAGTAACAAAACAAAATTGTAGCATGAGAGTTGATATGGATGATAAATGTCTTTGACTAAAAACTTTCAAACAAAAAGACAACAAAAATTTCTAACAAAGAGGCATACTAAATTGATAAGAAGGAATTATCATAAAAGTGGTTTCAAAAATTTATAATACCTAGTTACATTTTCTAAGGTAAGAGTGAATCCCATATAATATGTATTCCAGCAAATGCTAGAGGTACAAAAAGATTTTTGGCGATGAATGAGCAAATATTTTATGTTAAAAGCACACCAGCAACTTCTTTAAGTGATAACTGTTGGTTCCTGGCGACCGGTGAACTCCTTCAGTTTTGAGACCTCCAGTGCAATTTCCACCAGCGGCTTCAAGATGTCCTGAAACAAACAAGCATCAAAATGTAGGTGAAAATGTACAAGTTAACACACTCAAAAGTATATGAAGATAAAAAGAGAAAGGCCTTTTACCTGAGCATCAGCGGAATGCTTGCTCTTGTCAGATTCATAGCTGTCTACATACATGCGAACAGTGGCACCTGAACTGCCAGTACCACTCAACCGGAAGATAAGCCGGGAACCATCTTCAAACATAATACGGAGACCCTTCAAGAAGAAAACAAAAGGTTACAAGATTGTAACAAATGTGTGTGACAAAAGGCTTACAGAAAAGTATCAAAAATTACCTGCTTGGAGGCAAAGCTCTTGTCAATGGGATCAGTGTATGCATAGTTATCACCTTCCTTCACCACATATGTTTTCCCACCATTACTGTACTTGGTGCCTCGGAATGAGGGGGAGGTGATCAGCTCTTCCAATTTCTTCATCATTTCATTGCAGGGATCTGACGCACAATTTTCATAATCATACCTAATGTAAACAGGAATGTTAGTAGGAATGTCAAAAATGGATCAGTTAATTAACTTATAGACAATGATGAGATTCACTATCTGTGCACCTTGTGAAGAAGTTACGGCCATAGGTGCCCCAGTGAGCTAGCAAAGTGTCCTCAACAGATTTTCCAGTGTGAGCAAGGACTGACAGCCAAGCCAGCACTGCCCAGATGCCGTCCTTCTCTCTGATGTGGTCAGAGCCAGTTCTGTAAAAGCGAGTAAGTTATTAAATTTTTCCAAAGAGAGATTGTTAATATAAGATAGGAACACAAAAATGCTCAACCTACCCAAAACTTTCCTCACCACACAGTGACAGACGACCAGCATCCATCAAGTTACCAAAGTACTTCCAACCAGTTGGGACCTCAAAGAACTCCTTTTTAGTGGCAGCAGCAACTCTGCAAGCAACTTCAGTTAATATAGAAAAATGATTTTGAAAAAGCTAATGTGAAGGACAAGCACCTTACCTGTCAACAGCAGCTCCTGTGGGCATACTGCGAGCATATCCTTTGACTCCAGTCTTTTTGAAATATGGGATACACTCTAAATGGTTCGCTAGGACAGCAAGTGAGTCAGACGGAGTGACAAAGAATGCTTTGCGGCCCAAGATCATGTTCCGGTCCTAAGTGAAAATGAGACAAACAAAAACAAATTAGCCACCAATTTATTTTGTTAGGTAATTTCATATAAACTATTGAGAACACTTACTCCATCTCCATCAAAAGCAGCTCCCAAATCATAGTTTCCACTTGCAACAGACTTGACAAGATCAGCAGCATACGTAAGGTTGGGGTCAGGGTGGTGACCACCAAAGTCTTCCAGGGGAGTTGTGCGGACTGTGTTATCGACTGGAGCACCCAATTCCTCAACAAAGATTCTTTGGACGTAGGGACCAGTAACTGAAAAGTGAAGATAGTTAAGGAACATTTCAGGATAGATAAGTAGTCAGCTGTTGAAAAATTTATCCTGAAGAACTGACCTCCATTCATGGAATCAATCAGAACCTTAAAGCCTCCTTGTAAGAGCTTCTTCAGAGCAACAAAATCAAAGATTTCTTTCATAAGTTCAAGATAATCTTTGACAGAGTCAATGATCTCTACAGTAAATGTCTTTCCCTCAACCTGGAAAAACAATTAAAATTAGGGTGACGAAGTAGTGACAAAGTAGTGAGGCTTTGAAAAAAACTAATCTGATGCTTAACCACACCCATAAATGAAAGTAAAAATACCTCAAAAGTCTGAGTGCCAATCTTGTCAATAGGACACCTCAGGTCCGCAACAATAGAGTAGGTTGAGATCTTTGTCGTCAGAGCGTAAATATCATTAGTGACTCCATCAGGAGCAGGACCTGAAGAAACAATCAACTTAAACAACCGCTCACAATACTAGTCACAACAACAAATTTTACAAAACTTACCGCCATTGGAGCAGTTAAACTTAATGCCAAAATCGTTGTCAGGACCACCAGGGTTGTGACTAGCGGTCAAAACAATACCACCAGTGGTTTTGTACTTCCTGATCAAGCAGGACACCGCAGGAGTAGACAAGATTCCATTCTGACCGATGAGCAGTTTTGACACCTGAAACAGAACAAAATGAAAGGGTGTTAATAACCTCGAGAACAAAGTTAACATCATTGCAGCTGGGCCTATTTGATATGCACAGTCATCAGGATACAATGTCAGGTTGACATCAGTTGGTGTCTCAGTTCAGACCTCTGAATGCATCACTTGACTAAAAGGGGAGGGGTAGGTTAGTGAACTACAGAGAGGTTATGCCGGCCCAGCAAGCCTCACTCGCGGCTAAACAAGTATCCTTCCGTACCCCGTTGGCGGCCGCAATTTTGATGATCTTGTCCACCGCTTCCTTGCCGTAGTAGCGGCCGTCACCACCGACAACCAGAGTACTGCCGGCACAGTCCTTCCCCAGGGCGCTCAGGATGCACTGTACGAAGTTCTCCGTGTAGTGGACTTGTTGAAACACTTTGACAGCCTTCCGCAGGCCGCTGGTGCCGGGCTTCTGGCCATCGTAGACCTTGGTCTCGACTTTGGTAACTTTGAGCGACATTTCGGACGGCTTCCGATCAACTAGGAGTCCGTGCAGCTGCGGACGAGACTCTAGAGCAGACTGAGTGTGGACCAATGACCGGCGCAAGGACACTGACTGCGCGGTCGCAGCGCCAGCGCCAGCGGGGAGTGGAGCGGCTCCAAGGTGCCCTTGTCGCTCCCGCTCGCCGTCTCTCCTCTCTCTCTCTCTCGCTCTTCTGGCGCCAATCGATAACATGCCGGGAACCTCTCAGCCTCCCTAGACGAGCTAGACGAGCTAGCGCCTAGTCCGAGTCCCAGCCTGGGGCTTAGCGGCTGCACGTGTCGTTTGGGTTCATCTCCACGTTGAGCCCCAGCCAGACGGAAAAATCAGAATCAGAGCAACGACAGAGCGTGCACCCCGCGGCGCCCCGGCCGCCACCATGACTGTCAGGTTTGCGCAGGCAGGGTCGGCCTCTCTAGGTCGGCCGGCCGGCCCGCTCCGGCAATGTCGCCTGGAGTGACAGTGACCGTGACAGTAGGACCTGTCGGTGCTGTGAAGGACCGCATCCGCCCCTTTCCCCCAGCGGCGATACCCCGTGCCCGAGAGTACTTTTACTTTCCGCTCGCGGCTCGCGTCGTCTGCTGCGAGGCACCGCCACTACGCCTCGCGCTGCCAACGTGCCGACGAAAAGCGGCCAACTGAGTGGCGCCTGCTAGCCAATGGACGCGCGTCTCCTTGCCGGAATCGTCCTGCCCGATGGTCCTCGTCGAGAGGTTCGACCGCCACCGAGCCCCCGCGGACCACAACCACCCTCTGACGACGGCGGGCAGGACGAGGCGGTTGGCGGCCCTGCGCGCGCCGACCAATCAGAGCGCAGGACGGCCAGTGTAAGGAGGCGGGCTGGAGGCGGGAGTTACGCAAGAGCGCCTTTACGTAACGATATCCGTCTGAGGCACCCAGCCCCGCCCCGCCCCGCCGCCGTGTTTTGGTGACCCTGCCGCTGCGTGAGCGTACCGCGTGCCGCGTGCCGCAGCTCCAGTCGGGCCAGGCAGGGCGGCAGGGCCAGGCAGGCGCACCGAGACGTACACGCGGACAGGGAGGCGGCGGGGAAGTATCGGAAGGAACGGAAGCAAGCGGCCGTCCCTACAGTGGCCCATCCTCAGTCTGCCCCGCCCCGAGTCAGCCGGCGGCACGCTGCGGCACGCTGCGGCACGCGGGACCGGCCGAAACGAGACGAGCAGGGCGACGAGCGAGCAGCAAGGCCCAGACAGACGCAGACGCAAGGCTGCTCAAGGCGGCCCTCGATATGAGACGCACTATCTCGCTCTCTCACGGCCAGCTCGTTGCGCGTCGCACGTTGCGCTCGGCGTGATCAGGTGTCTGTCCAGCGGACGCCGTCGACGCCGTCCAGCCCAGCGGCCAGCTCAGAGGGTGCCGCGCCAGTCGCGCTCCGCGTGCACGCCAAGCCGGTCGCCAAGGCGGTCGCCGAGATGTACGACCGCGACACGCGGCCGCCCTGGAAGCGCGCCGAGGACGCCGATTCCGGCAGTGAGGCCCAGCCGCTGCTGTCCTCCGACGCCAGCCGGGCCAGCCGGGGAAGCCACAGGAGCTTCAGCTTCGGGTGAGTGCCGACCCTCTGTCTCTCTCTTTCGGTGTCAGCCTGCCGGGCCAAAGCGGCTTTGTTTTGGTGGCGGTGGGGATGGAGTACCGTTTCGTTCAAGGAGCTCTCCTAACCTGTATCTCGTTGGTACCTGCAGCTTGGCCGTGAGCCGCGCCGCCTAGAGTGCCTCCGTGATGACGTAATGAGATAGCGCGTGCCGACATTGGATTGGGCGACGTCGCCTCTACTTCTAGTGTCGCTGCGCGCGATGTGCATTCCACACTGTTCCCTCGGGGAATCGGTCATCGTTCGATCGGGTGGGTGGACGGGTCCTCAGACGCTGGAGCCAGAGAACAATGCAATGTTTGCCGGGGGCGGGGCATCCCAGTTGATTCAAGTCTAAATCGAAGGAAGCATATTTTAGAGAGTAAATTTTATTTACAGCCCTCAACAAAATTTAGGAGCCCTAGGGAAACCGAAGCATTTAGAATCAACTCTCGCATCCATAGTGAATGATAGTTGTTTTTTTAGCGGACAAATTTACTTAGTTCCCCAGCCAATCACGTCGCTGCAAACCAAACAGAGACGCCAGACGGCGGCACGGTGGTGCACGCACAAATAGCGTGTGTATAGTGTAGCGTCCGTCAGTCCGTCATCGGCCGGTGCCAAAGTTCGGAGGGGCGACACGCTGGAGGTGCCGAGGGAGGCTCGCCTCTCTGCAAAGCCAGCAGTGAGCCATTTCTTCGGCGAGCAAACACACGGGCCCACATGGCGCATGGCCTGGCATGGCCTTGGCCTTGGCGACGATCCGCCTGCGGCTCAAGGCCCGGTTAAACTGTTTGGAGGAACAGCCTTCTTGATCCGGGACTTTGCATAATCCAGCTATCCGGGGCTGGCGGGGCTGGCACGCGGAAGTGAGGGCTAAATCCCTCCCCCAAGTGTTGGCGGCACCTGGCAGGTGCACGGCGTGGCGGTGCAGGGACACGGCCAAGGCGGCGACTACACTGTGAAATTTAGAATAGTTTCGGCCGCGGCTCAGGAAGGCCTGGTCAAGGGCCTGGCGTAGCCCGACGTGGCTGCTGCCCCTCCGGGCCCCTCCCGGGGCGTTGAGAGCAGGACCGGTTCGCAGCTTGCAGTTCAGTGACCGTCCAGTCCGGCGGCTTTGGCTTAACGGGCTCGCAGTGAATTTCGTTTTTTCGGCTTGTTTTATGCTGACTTTTCGCGTTGTTTCGAAAATCCGCACGCGAGGCACACTTCCTGGCAAAGTTGACAAGAATAGCTGGCAATCCGCGAATGAGCAGATTGTTCTGCCGAGTTCGGAATCCCGGGAATGCAAATATTTGGCGCGCGCACACTGCACTGGTTGTGGCGGGGACGGCCCGGGACGGCCACCTATCAGGGACCTGGGGTGCGAACAGCCGAAGAGGTACAGGCCGATAGTGAAACCAAACACCACCCCGTCGCCCCCGTCGCCCCGAGACTGGCCAGGCCGCCCGAGTCCCTGACCCTGCTGCGGCAGGCTGACTTCGAACAGTGCCCCGTCGCTCTGTCTCTCTCGCACCCCTGGGGCCTGCGGGGCGCCTTCGAGGGAGAGAGAGAGCAGGTCGGCTCTCTCTCTCTCGGGTGTTCTTCCAAACACGCCGTCTGGCTGGAAGGCCGGGGTGTGCACGTGCGCGCCCACGCTTAGTACCGCCCCCAGACAACCGCCTTCTCTGCACTGTACTAATACACCGAAGCTTTTCCAAAACACGTCTACATGTTTCGCAGCTTTCTAACTGTCTTCTTGCTTGTGCTTACGCTTCGCGCCCAACGCGCTGCTTGCAGGGCCGGGCTCTTGTTCGACTCGGAGACGAGCGACTTTGAGACGGGGCGGTCGTACGCCGACACGAGCAACCAGCCCCGCACTTTCGCCAACCAGTATCAATACAGGTAGGTGCAGGCACGCTGTAAGCGCTGTAAGCCAGCCCTAGCGCACTGTGCTCCTCGCCGAGTGCACTTCTTTTCTCGCACTTGCTTATGACGTCTTTGTTTATCTTTACGTGCATCTGTTATAGTTTTTTTTGTCATTTTGGCCTTTTTAAGTTGGCAAGCTTGCCTATCTAAAGTGGACGTCCACTTAATGAAATCGAGGCTATTCGGACACACAAAGTAGAGCGCCGCACTTATCGCATCGCGTGGCGCCACAAAGTGATTGACGATGAGTCGCTCGGATGCCTCCTTGTTGTGCTCAGCTTCCCCAGCCCGTGGCACTTTCGAACCCATTGCCATTTTTATTAAAAAGAAACAGCCTTTTCAGATGTTTGATTATCCGCCCCCTTTGGAACTGCGACAGTGGCGCCCCCTGGGCTTCTGCCCGTCGACGCGCACAGGTGAGAGCCTGTCACCGATCCACGGACGGCAAGCACCGGCGCAGCGGCGCAGTGCGAGAGAGAAACGCACGCTCTGTTTTCGCTCTCGTTCTCGACGCCCGCGGCTAAATATACTCCCGGTGACCAACTGATAAGGGTTTTCCGTCTCCCTCTGTCCGCGGCTCCGCGGCTAGATGGACCGCCTCAGCTGAGTCGCCCTTTTCCCCGCCGGCCGTGCCGGGCCGGGCGGCTATTTCGAGCATTGCAACTTGTTATCGCCTAGGCGGACGGCACGGCCTCGGCACCCTTCATCGCGTTGTCTGCCGACGCGTTTTGACGCGCAAGTGACCGGTTCTATCACGAATCCAGACTACAGCGTCCTCTTTTTCCTTTGCGCTCCGCAGGAACAGCAGGCTGCCCCCGCGGACTGGCGGCGGCAAGGATGGCTTCACCGCGTCCACCACCCACGGCCTGGGCCTGCCCCTCGGCGGCCTGCCCCTCAGCGGACTGCGCGGCGGCTCCGGGGCCAACAACGGCAACGGTAGCAGCGGCGGCAACGGCACCCCCTACCGCTACTACACGCAGCTGCCGCCGCGCGATTTCGACGGCAGCGGCCTGCTGGTGAGTTAGTCCCTGGAGTTAGGGACCCACCCGTTCGTCCCGCGACGAACGGCAGTGGGGAAGTCCCACCGGCGCGCGCCAGAGCGATGGGCCAGAGCGCCGCGCGGAGCGGCCGAGCGCCTGACGGAGCGAGGGTAGGCCACCCGACGGCCACCTGTGCTCGACGGGACGGCCTCCGCCAGCTCGGTTCTGAAGTTTTGTTTCGCTCTCTCCCTCCAGACCGGGCAGAAGCAGACCAGCCCCGTGTTCGTGCCCTACCTGTCCCAGGCGGCGCCGGAGGCCGGCAAGCAAAGCAGTATTGTCACCATGTGAGTACTTGTGCACAGGCCGAGGCGAGGCAAGGAACCGAGTGAACTCTCAAAACCGGAAAAGGGGGGAAGACGAAAAAGAAAGAAAGCAAACTTTGGGCAGCGATGTGCGCCGTTGAATCTTTCGATCGGTAGTACCCGTTCTGTGCAAGTTTGTGGGCGGGTTGCCTCAGCCTCCGTACCCCTCTCTACCCGGCCCTGTGGCGCGGCGGGGCGGGGCGGACCCCAGACAACACAACAAACGCAACGCGAGCGCCAATTTCATCAGGCGTCCGTCTTAACGTATTTACCCGCCGTCAAGGTCCCGGGGCGATAGTGATTGGGATTGGACGGAGGTCCGAAGGACAACCAAGGAAGTGGTTTTCTTTGTTCCCGGAACCAAAACATACCCATCAAGATAGCAAATATTTGAAAAAAAAAAGAATAAAGCACTGCGCAGTGGAGTCACGCGACAAAATTTCAGCAACTCGTTTTCTCAAATAAACTGATTTTTAAAACTCGAAGTTCAATAAAAGTAATTTTTTTAAAAATTATGCTTGATTGCTGGAGAAGCCGCCGCGGCGTGGCGCCCCTGGCGCTTGTATCTGTCAGCGCCTTGGTCAGCGCGTCACGCGCACACGTCACTGCTAGTTTGATAAGGCGGGTGCGCTATCTCCGTCTCTGTCTCGCCCATGTCGCAGGCCGGCTAATGGGCGCCGAGACGCGCCGGTTCGAAACGGCGGCACCCTCACCCCTTCGGACCCCTTCGCAGCCCGCCCTCCTGCAGCAGCAGATGACCCCGTGCGTCACGGCGGTGCAGCGCGTCAGCCTCGCGTCAGCCTCGCGTCAACCCCCTGAGCAAGCCCCTGAGTCATGTGCACGCCGCCCCCAGTTCCGCGAACTTGCGGGGGGTCGTTCCCGCCGCCCCGACACGCGGGGGTTGCTGCACGGCGGGGGATTCCTCGCGTTGCCGGTCCGCCTACAACTTTCCCGTTTGTCTCATCTTTTTCTTTTCTTTCTTGTCTGACGCACTTGGAGGAGCGGGTGCGTTCGCGACCCGAACCCCGTGCGCCGCGGCGCTGTCCGGCCGCTGGCTCGGCCGGTGTGCCCCCCTACTTCCGCTCGTCCGCCACGCGAGGCGACGCGGCGTGTCCGATATCACCAGGCCTTCCCCTTACTTCCGCGTTACTGCGGCTTGCACTCCGTTTCGCGTGAAAAAACAGCTGAAAAGAGAGAAAAAACTGCCCCCACTTTCACAGAGTAGTTGTTTGCGCTTTGTATTCTGCTGACGGTCTTCCCCATGCAGCAGCGCGTGCTAGCCATAACTCTCGGCGTTGTATGAAAAATAACGCGATTGAGATAAAGGGGGAGGGGGACTTTGATCGGGAACTTGCTGTCCAACAGCTTTGGCTGCAGTTTCAGTTAACTCGGCGTCGCCACTCGGAGACAGGATTGCGAAGCGCACATTGCTGTGCATGACTGGTCCGTGTCACCTGTCCGCAATCTGTGGCCTCGAGACTAAGGTTCTCGAGAACCGAGGTGACTTCACGTAATCGGGGCTGACGATGCTGAAGATAGGGCCGCCAGCACGCGCGACTTCGGGCACACTGCTTCAAGTGGGCGGCCGAGCTTTGCCTGCCGGCAGACCTGGAACTACCCCAGCCGGGCTGGCCGAGCCTCGCTCCGCGTGAGTGCGAGAGAGACAGCCGCGGCTCTGTGGGTGCATTGAACCGACCGGATCAATACTTCCAAGGGAATGGGGCGGGCTGGCTACTGCACTGTACCCGGAGTGAATAGAGAATAGTACCCTCTATCTCACTCCCTGCCTCAAAGAACGCGCTCGGGTTTCCATTTTCCCTCCGGCCTATTATCGGGCCGACCAAATTGGCTTCCCATTTGGGGGTTGGCTGCGCTGCGGGCCTGCCTGGAGCCTCGCTGCTGGAGCCTCGCTGCTGGAGCCGGAGCCACAGCGGCGGGCGCGGCACGGCGGCGAAGGCAATGACCTCAGCGCCCGACCTGAGACAAGGTCACTCTCCCCATATCGACCCGCCCCTCTCTCTATTTCCCTCTCGCTCCCACCCCTTGGCGCGTCGCGGGCACGCCGCCGGCACAGGTCCCATGCCGGCCGACAGCCAATTGGAAACTTGGAAACTCGGAGCGTCAATGATTTGGTAGGCGGTACAAATCTCGGGCGGGCTGTCAAACACTCAGGTTTCAGATAACGATCAAGTGGAGGGAACGGTTCGCACCGACATGTTGCCGGCGACCTCGTTTATCCGAGTTCACGACCCCAAGGGCACGACGGCCAGGGCACGGCGGCAAGGCCGAGCGGATCGTGCTGGTCTCAGCGAGGGCAGCGCAGAAGCCTCGGCAGCAGCGCCTCGCGGGGTGATGCCGCGCAGTGCGGCCGTCGTTCTGTCTCTCTCGCACTCGTGGGCTGTCGCGTAAGGGTGCGAGAGAGACAGAGCGACAAACAGTGCCCGGTGCCACCACGGTGCCACCGGCCGGGCACCGCGGCGTGGACCGCGGCGTGGACGCCTTCCTCGATAGCATCCGCTTGGGTAGTTTTCCCGCCGCCGATACGCACGGCAGGGCACGGCAGGGCAGGGCAGGGCTCAGGGCGCCTCCTTTCATCACTCGACCTCCCGATAAAAACAAGTTGATGTTTTCTCTGGGCGCACTGACCAAGGTCTATCTATCTATGACTTGCTAGACTGTCACCTCATGCTCGGAAAAAATTAATTAAATCGGTGAGCACTCACCTGTTTACGGCCCGCCAAGGGCCAAGGGCCCGCCCTACCCGGGGCGGCTCCACGGTGACGGCCTCGTCGTCCAGGCCCGGCGTGCCAAGGCGTGCCCCGGGTAGGGCGGGGACGGCGTGCTCCGGGCGCTCGGGGGCTCCCTCGACGCGCCCCGACGGCCACCCCAGCACCGACTGAGTCCTGGCTGGCTGTCCTGGCGCGAGGGCATGGACTCTGCTCGCCGAAGGGCTGCCTGGGCCTGGGCCGACGGTGGAGGGGCGGGGCGCGGCGTGTGCTGGACGCGCGGCGGGGATGGGGCGGTAGCGGGGCCGTAGCGGGGCGGTAGCGGCGAGCCACCCCCGCCGCGTTCGCCGCGTTCGCCGCGTTACCTTCCCCAACCTAAAGTGAAAGTGCCGGCGGGGTGGGGGCGGGTTGGTGGCGCCGCCAGCCGGTGGGGTGGGGTGGGGTGGGAGTCGTTCGCGCCAAATCACTACTGTACATCGGGATGGCGCGCCGTCGTCCAGGATTACATTCCTCTTCTCCTGCTCCCTCCAGCTTCGCGGTGTGGAACACCATCATGGGCACGTCGCTGCTGGCCATCCCCTGGGGGCTGGAGCGCGCGGGGCTGGGCGGCGGGCTGCTGCTGGTGCTGGGCATGGGCGCCCTGTGCCTCTACACCACGTGGCGCCTGCTGTCCGTGCACCGCCTCCACGGCTCGGGCTTCGACGCCGAGGTGCCCGACCTGTGCCGCAAGCTGCTGGGGCGCTGGGCCGAGCTGCTGGCGCGCGCCTTCAGCCTGGTGGTGCTCATGGGCGCCATCGTCGTGTACTGGATCCTCATGTCCAACTTCCTGTACCACTCGGTGGACTACATTCACGGTGCGCAGAGTTTCCGTTCGTTAATCCTACTTTGGCTGAATGAAGTGAAAGGTTTTGATGTGTGGGTGTTGCTGTTGCAGACGAAATCACCGGCGTGAGCCCGGTCCGGTGGGACAACACCTCAATGATCTTCACCCCAGGTGCGTAAGTCGCGCTGCCGCTACCCCATGCGTCACTGCGGGGAGTATTGACGGTTTGTTCTGTTTGCACTCTGCAGTGAAATGCCACCTGCTGACGGGCACGGGTCAGGCCCCCGACGTCCCCACGGTCCCGGTGCCCGCCCCCGTGTTCGCCCTGTCCCTCGTCGCCCCCGAGGAGCCTCTGGTGGCGGAGGACAAGGGTTCCTTCCGCTGGTGGTGGAACCTCGAGTCCAACGTGCCCATCTACCTGGTGCTCATCATGGCCCCACTCATGAACTTCAAGTCAGCGACCTTCTTCACCAAGTTCAACTCCATTGGTGAGAACCCTCTCACCAAATAATTACTAAATCAGTTAATTGTGAGATTCCCTTAATATCTTATTTTTGGTGTTTTGCAGGGACGTTGTCAGTACTCTATCTCCTGATTTTCATTCTGGTCAAGTCATCGGCATGGGGTGTCAATTTAAATATGACTGACGTTATGAGTGAACACTATAGTCCTCTATTTATCTGGAGTTTCCCAGCAACTTCAGGCATGTTGGCACTGTCGTACTTTATTCATAACATCATTATCAGTATCATGAAGAATAATCGGCACCAAGAAAATAATGTAAGTACAATTTGACATTTGCAATTTTATGAGCCTGCTTTCAGAAATCGAGTAAATCACTAAACAATATTTATTTTCTGTCCCCAACAGGGTCGAGACTTATCTATTGCATATGTTTTAGTTACTGTTACTTACGCTATTATTGGAAGTGTTTTCTACATCAGCTTCCCACTTGCAAAGTCTTGTATTGAAGATGTAAGTATGAAGTAGGATTTTTTTTTTTTTTTTAAATTCTCCATTGTGTTTGATTTTAACTGTATCAATATATTTTTGTGCTTTGCAGAACCTTCTTAACAATTTTGAATCATGGGACCCAATGACTGTGGCGGCTAGAGCTTTCCTCTTCTTCCAATTGGTGACCGTCTTTCCCCTCGTGGCGTACATGCTTCGGAGTCAGCTGTGCTCCATGGTCCTGGGCCACACCTGGCCTGGCCGTCTCCCTGTTTTGTGCATCAATGCTGTTTTCATAACAGTTTGCGTCTTGTTTGCTATCTTCCTCCCTCGATTTGGAACAATCATCAGGTAAGTTCGGGATAGATGTAAAATACGAAGTCGTATCAAGTACCAATGGTAACAGTGTTATTTTCCATTCCAGGTTCACAGGGGCCATAAGTGGTTTGGTGTACATATTTTTGCTTCCTGTGTTACTCCATCTTGTATCATTGCAACGTCAGGGCAAACTCACTAAGCTTACAACTATTCTTCATCTCTGTATACCTATAATAGGAACAGCAAACCTAATTGCCCAGTTCTTCGTGTCGGATTAGACTGAAGACGAGTGCCTCTGACTTGACTAAACTGTGATTTCTGATTACTCTGAGCTCTCTTGCACCATGTTGTGTGCAACAATAGGGGTGTAGTTTCACAATTCATCCATTTAACCATTTGTAGTTTTAATGCACGACCTAGTGATTCATACTTTTAAGGTATTGTTTTGTTTTTCTTATCTTAAGTTTGGAATCAATCATTTATTGACCATAATTGAACTGTGATATAAAAATACTGTCTAGGCTGCCTCCTATTTATCCATTTCTGTCCCGACAAATGAAATCTGGCAAATGTTCAGAAGTAGGGATGTTCTAGTTAGAGGCTTGACTGATTTTGCAGATCTGATTTGCACCTTGTGACGACTCTCCAGCATGGATATTACTTAATTGACTAGCTAACTTCAGAATTCCAATTACGATGTCTGCTCTTATTTTCCAGTTTTCAAAAAATTAAATTGAGGAGCTTCTTACTGACTGTGTTTTCTTGTAAAATGAAGTTTAGAATAAAGGTTTTAAAGAAATAAACAATTGTCTCATTTCATTCACAAAAAAAAACATGTAATTCCTGATCAAATCAAAACATGGAGCACGGGGAGGATTGACAAAGTATAAATAAAGACAGAAAAGATTTATAAACACATGGAATGATGTGAATTCTCACAGAAACTTCCAAATAACATCAGTGAAGAATCAGACTAAGATAAAAAAACACAGATACGCAATTGCCACAAGAGAGCTTTATTTTTTCCCCCAGGAAACCCAGAAAAAATGAATTCAAAATGACTAGATTCCAACAACTTTGACCTGATGATAATATGTGACAGGATCCTCATTCAAAAACAATGATATACAGTACTTGTTAATTCATCCAGAATAATAAAATACAAACCAGACACATCCTTATTTTAAAATTATGGTAACAACAGTTCAACAAGTGGGTAAGAACATGGCAGCTATAATCTAAAGAAAACCCCCAAAAAACAACATGAAATAAAAAGGCCTGATAAAAAATAGCAGAGAATGAAAACATGTACGGTTACTCTCTGTATCACATTCAAAATCACTTATGATCTGACAGTAAATAGGTAATAATTCTTGTAGTACACCTGAGGTACTGTTTCATCATCATGCTGTTCCCAGTCCTGAAGAGGCTTGCTTGCAGAAAATATATTTTTTTGGCACTCCATAATTACATTAACATCTTTAACAAGTCCCTGAACTCGACTTAAATCATTCTTAGACTCCTTGTGTGTATAAGAAGTGACAAGGAGGGGACAGTTGCGTTTGAGTATCTCAGGAATAGTCTCTTTCCAGGTATCTTTAATTTTACTTTGGATATTTTCTGTGAATCCAGCATTAAAGGCAACTATCAAATCGGGTCTGCTCTGAACATTTATAAATTCATGGTATAATTGAGAAGATCGTACAATTTTCAAATCTACATTTCTAGAAATACAGGATCCACACAGCTTTAGATTTGACTCAAAGTCTCCAACATCAGGTCCAACAAATGTCAATGTTAGTTTCTCTAGTCCAGGCAGCCAATGCAATAATTGTTCCCATTTTTCAAAATATTGCATTTCAAATCCTCCTGCTCCAACAAGCTCCACTGAAAGTACCTTATTTGAAGCCAGGTCCAAGGAATAAACAGTGTGTACAATTGTCATTGGCGCAGACATCACATCTGTGAGTACCCGACCTTCAATCGTACCCAAATTTTCTAGCAATGACTCTGAATACTTTTTGATTTTTTCAAGACATGATGTTTGAAGAAAGTCTGCAGACATAGGGTCAGAGAGAGGAATATCCCCAAATCCAACAGCCTCAAGGAGTGACTTATCTATTTCAAAGCACACTTTTAGTTCTGGGCAATCTTTAGAATGCCTATCTTTATCTTTTTCTTTGTGGTCTTCAGAACAGTAAGACACACACAGACATTTTGAGCAAACTCTCAGCTGCTTCACATCATTAGAATAGCAGATATTACACATTCTTGGGTACAAGATCATGCGAGACTCTGCTGTAGATAGACTACGTCTAATCTGCTTGCGTACGTTAAAGTACAAGTAATATCGATAAGTATTAAACCCAAAGGCGTTTTCGGTAAACATATCATTTCGTTCCTCGAGATCATCGTTTATGCGGTAACCCCTGATTTTGTTGGCGCCCATTTTCTTCAGAGTGTGCTTCAGCATGATGCACATTTCCTTGTGGAACTTCCAATGCTGCTTCTGGTGCTCTTCACCACAGTAAGAGATGAGGTGACAGCCGCCACAGGTTTTCAGCAATGACAGCCCATCCACCGACAGACACGGATCGTCGCAGACGGCGCAGACCGTCGCGTAGAAGAAGGCTAGATGCTTCAGGCTTTGCTTGTCGGCGGGAAGGGGCCCCGACCCTGGTCCAGATGGTCCTGCCATTTTCGTTTTCTCGCTGGGAGACCTGCGATCACAGAGACGTGCAGGTTAGAGGCAGACACACACGAGTGAGCGCCGAGCGCGAAGCCTGGGCACAAAGAAAACCTGACAAAAACAACGCACCTCCACTTTCGGCAACAAAACTTCGATATTCCAAGAAACTTTCACGAACGCTGGGTCGGCATTTAAGTGATCGAATTAGATGATAACCGGCTAAAACTGTCCGCAGTTATGTTGACGCTGAGAACGCATACCCGCCATATTGGCGTCTTCTGCAGTCACCGGGCTTGCCAACGCCACGTCGATGAACTCCACGCAGTTTCATACCGTCACCAAGGCGTAAGTTTAGGAACCAAAGGCTATTTAAAATTTTAAGGCGTCAGAATAAAGCTAAACGCGACGTTCTTTAAGAAGTTACGGTGATTTAAAAAAAAAAGTGGCAGCGCGTCAGGCCTGGACGGTCGGTGACCGCCAATTTTGAACTGGTGCGCGCATCCAAACCAAAATCACCAATCACAGGGCGCGAAGAACGACAACGGTGCTCTCGAGACGAGGCACGTTTATTGAAAACACATTCAAAGTCAAAGAATAAAAACCACAGCAGCTTTCGAGGCATATAAAGGACTGTACTTTAAAACTCTAGTTACACCTTAAAGTAACGACAACTACTCAGAGTAATCCGACCGGTTTCTCCCCTTCGCCACGAGTCTTTAACGACGTCTTCTTGCTAGCAACAGTAGGGCTGACTTTGTCCGCTCGGGAAGGGAGCTCGAGTCGGACTCGGACGAATGGTCCGGCACTCGACACAGTCGGCCCTCCATCCTCAGCTCTGCTCTGTGAAAACGGCCATTTTAATTTCGACATTTTTCACACATCCTGCTGGTGAGAAGCGGTCGCAAGGACTTGAAACACGTCACCTGGACGTCGGCCCCTCCCGACGAGTGGCTCGCTCGCGACCGTCCTTCGCCGTGAACCCGGGTCGACGCCCGCCTCGACGCCCGCCTCGCAGCAGGGGGCGTCGTCGCTGTCGCCGTCGGCGTCCTCCGTGACGGCGTCCTGGCTCGCGGCCCGCGGCGCGCGCCAGCAGTCGCAGTGCGGACACTGGTCGCTGGACGACGACGAGTCCATGCTGACGCTGGGCACCGTGGGCACGGCCTGAGTTCGGCGCAGGGGGCGTCGGCCGGCCACGAAGACACGGCCATCACCTGCGCGGAGGTCCCCGTCAAGACTTGCTCAAATTGGACAACTTGGCGGCACTGGCATCGCTATCGCTCACCGGGCGCTTCGCCAGCGGCGCTGAGCCCAGGCTGAGACTTCGCTTGCGGGCAGTCCCCCTGTCGGGAGGCAGCAGCTGCGGGGGTGGCGGGGGCGGCGGGGGCTGCCCGTCGTTTTTCCGTCGGTCCAGCGTGAGTTGCGTCGAGCTCCAGTAAGGGTCGGCTCTCTGGCCCGCCAGGCACGGCGTCAACCCCGGCGCGCGGCCGAGGGCGGGGCCGAGGGCGGGGGCGCTGTTGGCCGCGGGGAAGTCCACCGCCTCGAGGCGCCGGGGCCCGTCCGCTCCGCAGTCCGATGCACTGATGCCCGGGAACCTGGGGGAAACCGAGGCATCTCTAAAACTCGATTCTCGCGATGAACTGAAAATGGCAGTAGGTTTTGCGGTGTACCTGGAGGGCGCGAGGACGACGTCGCGAAGCAGCTCGCGCATGGTCAGAGTCGTCTTCCGGCGGCTCTTCCTGCTCCACTTGCTGAGCGCGGCACCGCGAGGGCCTCGTCGCACAGGGCCGAGGCCGGGGCCCTGCACGCGCGCGACACCCTCGCGCTGGTGCCACCTCGGGGGCGGCGGGGGCATTGGTGCCATCATTGGCTGCTGGAGCGACCGCAGCGCCGACTTCAAGTCCCTGGAGGTGGCGTCCACCGGCGGCTTGTGTCTGCTTGGAGGCGGTGGCGGCGGCGACGGGGGCGGTAACAGTCTTGGGTGCAGCACGCGCAGCGCCGCCTTCAAGTCCGTCGAGATGGCGTCGCCCTGGTAATCGCGCGCCTGCTGTCTGGGAGGCGGCAAGGCTGCTGGCCTCCAAAAAGGCGGTAGCGGTGTCGACGGAGGCGGCGAGACAAGCGGTGCCCGCTTCACTAGTGGATGCAGCAGCCGCCCTGGCCGCACCGCCGCCGGGGCCTCCAAGGCCGTGTCCAAGCCCAGCACGCCGCGGAGCCCCATCTCGGAGAGCAGCCAGGCCAGCGACACGCGGTACAGCACGCGTCGCCCGTCCCTGGAGAAGGCCAAGGACACCGCGGAGGCGGACACCGCCACGGACACGCCGCAGGACCTGGCGCACGGGCATCGACATTAACGACTACCGTGACAGGCGGGGCACGAAAGAGGAAGGTCTGAAGAGTAACCGCACCTGGATACGGTGACGGCGTCGAAGACTGGGACCAATGAATTACAGTCTTCCGGTTGGGGTGCCGTCGAGTCGGATGACGGGGGTGATGGGGAGCGCGGAGAGCTGTGCGGGGATGTCGCCATGGAGGACGACGACGTCGAGGAGGAAGGGGCTGGCGCTCGGGGGTCCGGGGGGCTGCTGCTGTGGCTACGGGACGCGGTGGTGGTCTTCCTCTCGGTGGCGCTGGCGGTGACCTCGTCCCCGTCGCCTGCACGCTCGGCGTCGGCGCCCAGGTCGACAACCAGTGCCTCGAGCCCTCCACCCACAGGGCCACCGCGGCCCGCGACGGCAGTGCGGCCCTCCACGTCCGGCTCGCCGTTCTCGACGCCGTCCTCGAGTCCACAGCGGTGATCCTGGCCGACGGTCTGGGCGCCACGGCTCGCGGCGCCTGCTCTTCGCTGTCCGAAGAAGTCCGCGGGGCAGGCCCGAAGGCAGGCCGCCGTCTGCAGCGAAGCAGGCGTCGCCGGCCGCTCGGTGGCGGCAGTGCATGTTTGTGCGAGGACTGCGTCGGTGTCGGCGGCAGGGGTAAGTCCTCCAGAATGTCGAGAGACCGCCGTGAACTGGGCGTCGACGGCGTCCTGGAGGACACGCTGCTGCTGGCGTCCGCCACCTTCCACAGCCCGCACGTGGCTTGCGGCGCGGGGACTGGCTCTGGGAACGCCGGGACGGCCTTCGCGAGGACTGGCAGGAACTGCTGCAGCGCCGGGACAGGCTTTGCCACGCTGTCGCCCGCTCCCAGCAGGCACAGGCCGTCGCTCGGCGGGCTGGGGGGCGTCTTGTCGACGCCCTCGACGCCGTGGTGGGGGATGCCGTGGTCGCGGAACAAGTCGTGGAGCCGGGGCATGGACCGACCGGCGGGGTCCGTCTGCGTCGAGCTCTCGCTCGTGATCCTGGTCGGCGGCCTCGGCGCGGCGCCGGGAGGGCCGCCGAGCACGACGGCCTCCATCAGGGCCTTGGTGTGCTGCTCCAGGCTCAGCAGCGTGGCGGCGCGGGCAGACGGCGCCACCGCGGCGATGGCTTCCCCGTGGCTCGAGGCCGCCGAGGCGTCGCCGCTGGCGGTGACGGCTTTCTCCGCCGGCGCTGGGACGGCCTGCAGTTTGGCCGAAAAAAAGAACGAAAAAGGCAGAGTTTAACGCACGACGGCAAGGACATGCAGTGCCTCGCACTGCCCCACCACGCCCTCAGGGACGGCGGCCGCGATGGTGGGGCTCTTTGGAAAGTTCAGAGAGGCCAAGCAGGTCGTCGTCACCTTGCTGGCGCCGGGGTGGCGAGGTGCCGAGGTGGGCGTCGCAGAGTCCCCCCAGAGGACGAGCCTCGGCCGCGCCAGGTCGCCGTCACTGCGAGACCGCCGCAGCGCCCGAGGCGGACACGCGTCGCCGCGCCCCGAGGAGCTGGCCGAGTCCGAGTCGGCCGAGTCGGCCCCCAGGGGCCAGGACGACGTGGTGCTGGTCCCGGGGGACACGCCGGGGCTGAAGGCGTAGTCCGCCAGGATGAAGCGCTCCTCCGAAGTAGGCAGGGGGGTCTCCGTCAACCTGAGCCAACACACCCACTCGGCGGATGTGGCAGTGCCCGCACCGAACAAAAGGCCCTCCGGGATCGGGATTCGAACCCTCGCCGCACCTACTCGAAAGTGAGCGACGAGTCCGTGGAGGTGGACGTGGTGGACGGCGAGCGCCGGCCGACGGCGCGGTCCCGGCCGCGTATCCGCGCGAACAGGATCTTGTCGGGCTGGTCGGGGTCCGAGTCGGAGCTGGCGGCGTGGCGTCCGCCGCGCTTGGTGCGACGCCGCGCCTCGTCGCCAGGGCGGTCCGGGGGTCCCGTCATGGACGTCATGGCCACGGCGTCGTGGTCCGAGGGCCGCGGCGGCCGGAAGAGCCAGGCGGGCGCGGAGGCCCCGGGGTCGCCGGCCTCCATGGCCGCCCTGGCGGACGTCTGGGCCAGGCGCAGCGTCGCGGCCACCACCACCTGGAAAGGAGTGCACAGTGTCAGAGAAACGTCGACGTGGAGCCCAGCAGCAGGCGTACTAGCTCAACATTTTCTTTGCGATGTTTGAAATTTTATTTCGCAAGTTTTGCAGAGGTTAACTGACGAGCATGGCGGCTATGACGAGCGCGGCGCTGCCGACGGACAGGTGCAGCACCACGAGGGCGTTGGCCAGCGGGTTGAAGCAGCCGCGCTCCCACGTCCGGCACGCCGCCGTCACGTCGCGGCGGGCGTCGCGGTCCGCGGGGGCCGCCGCGGGGGTGGGCTCGGCCGGGTCCGCCGCGCAGCAGCTCTCTGGAATGTCACTGCCCGCGCAACGGCCGATGTAGTCGTGGCCCTCGGTGCCGCCCTTGGCTGCACAGTGGGCCAGAAGACCGGTGGAGGCGGCCAAAACTCTGGACACGTTTTGAGCTCCAGAGTCGCTAAATGGGACTCGAACCGAACGTGTGACCCCACCAATGGATTGCTCTCAGGACGAGGAAACTATTGGCGGGGTCACACGTTCGGTTCGAGTACTTTTTAGCGACTCCAGAGCTCAAAAGGCGTCCTCGAATTTTGGCCGCCTCCACCGGCCTTCTGGCCCACTGTGGCTACCTGCTGGGCGGCCGCGACAGCGCCTTGTCCTGCCGGTCCTCCTTGGCGGCGTCCACGTCCTGCTCCTGCAGCCGGCCGATGGGGTCGTTGGCCCAGGGGTGCCAGTCGGCCGGGCCGTCGAAGCCGCAGCACTCGAGCGTGGCCTGCGTGTCGTCCATGGCCTGCCGCGTGGCCGCGTTGTCGCTGCGGCTCTCGTCGTAGTACCCCAGCGCGGCCCACAGGATGCGCGAGCGGGACAGCCTCGGCGACAACGCCATGCCCACCACGCACCA